CCCAAATTAGAAGGAACAAGGGAACTACATGGGGGGGAAATTGTTAAGGCCACAAGGCACGATAATGTAGTAATTCTAGGAGACTTTAACTTTAGTCATATTAAATTGGAATTTCTTGACAGGGAATTTAGAATCATACGACTTCTTAGAAGTAGTTCAGGATTGTTTTTTGAAGCAGTTTGTGACAGAACCTACAAGGGGAAATAACCTGCTTGACTTAGTTATGGCAAACAATGAATCCCTTGTTAATAATTTAGAAATTTCAGAGGAACTGGGTGCTAGCGACCACAAATCAATTACATTTAGCATTGAATAGAAGTACGATAGTAGCGATAACTCAGTAAACAGTCCCAGATTTTCGCTTAGCAGATTACGATGGGCTTAGAGAACACTTATCATCTGTTGACTGGGGTAACGAAGAGAGCTATCAATATGACAGTTTTCTGAACACTATATATGCTGCTCAAAGAACGTTTATCCCATATAAAGAAATTAGATCAAATAGAAATGACCCAAAATGGATGAATAATAGGCTCAAATATCTACTAGGGCATAAGAAAGGAATTTATAGGCGTATCAAAAGAGGTGAGGGTCATCTTATGAATCAGTATATTGACATTAAGAGAGACATTAAAAAGGGGATAAGAAAAGCTAAAGGGGACTATGAAATAAAGTTGCTAGGGATTCCAAAACTAACCCAAAAAGTTTTTTCCAGGTCTATAGAACAAAAGTTAGAGATAAGATAGGTCCCTTAAAAATAACTATGGGCACCTTACTGACAAAGAGAATGAAATGTGCTCGATTTTAAATAATTATTTTCTCTCAGTTTTTACACAGGAAGACACTAACAATATTCCAGTAATTAATTTTTATAGTGGGCTAGAAGAAGATAAATTATGTAACATCACAGTCACTAGTGAAATGGTTGTGAAGCAGATAGACAGACAGAAGCAAAATAAGTCGCCGGGTCCTGATGAGGTTTATTTCAAGGGTTTCTTAAGGAATGCAAAATGGAACTCTTTGAACCATTAACTAACATTTTTAAATTTATCTCTTGAAACAGGTGTAGTGTCTGATATGTGGAAGATGGCTAATGTAATTCCTATTTTTAAAACAGGGCACAAGTCGTTACCGTCAAATTACCGCCCAATAAGCCTGACCTCAGTTGTAGGCAAATTACTAGAGTCAATTATAGCTGAGATTATAAGAAGCCATCTCGATAAGCATAGCTTGATTAATGATACTCAGCATGGATTCACAAGAGGCCGGTCTTGTCTAACTAATTTATTAACTTTCTTCAGTAAAGCTTTTGAGGCTGTTGACCACGATAAAGAATTTGATATTATTTACTTAGATTTTAGTAAGACTTTTGATAGAGTTCCGTACCATAGATTGTTAAAAAAAGTGGCAGCTCATGGCATTGGGGGAAAAGTGCTCTCGTGGATCGAGTCATGGCTCACTGACAGGAAGCAGAGAGTGTCCATAAATGGGGTTAAATCCGAGTGGGGATCTGTAACAAGTGGCGTTCCACAGGGATCAGTCTTGGGCCCGTTGTTGTTTATAATATATATCAATGATCTTGATGAGGGAATTACTAGTGATATGAGCAAATTCGCCGATGACACAAAGATAGGTAAGATAATTGATTCAAACGTAGATGTTATGGAACTTCAGAAGGAATTAAACAAACTCTATTCTTGGTCAGAAAAGTAGCAGATGCAGTTCAATGTAGATAAATACAAGTTCTGAAGCTTGGGAGTGCCCATAACCCTAGTACTTATAAGTTAAATGATGTAGAACTTAGCCATACAGATTGCGAAAAGGACTTGGGGGTTATGGTGAGCAGCAACCTTAAACCAAGACAGCAATGCCTAAGCGTACGTAATAAGGCAAATAGATTACTGGGATTTATATCAAGAAGTGTAAGCAACAGAAGTCCAGTGGTCATACTGCAGCTTTATACATCATTAGTAAGGCCTCACCTAGATTATGCAGCTCAGTTCTGGTCTCCGTATTACAAAATGGGCATAAAATCGTTAGAAAACATTCAGCGTAGGATGACTAAATTAATACATAGCATTAGAAATCTTCCTTATGAAGAAAGATTGAAGACTCTTAAGTTACATTCACTTGTTAGACGAAGAATGAGGGGAGACCTGATCGAAGTGTATAAGTGGAAGATAGGTATTAATAAAGGGGATATTAATAAGGTCTTGAGGATGTCTCTCCAAGAGAGAACCCGCAGTAATGGATTTAAATTAGATAAGTATAGATTTAGAAAGGACATAGGAAAGTATTGGTTTGGAAATAGGGTAGTTGATGAGTGGAACAGTCTACCTAGTTGGGTTATTGAGGCTGGGACTTTGGGTAGTTTCAAATTTAGGTTGGATAAGTACATGAGTGGGAGGGGTTGGATTTGAGTGGGACTTTCACATCAGAGCTTATTTCATGGGTGGCTTTGAAAATTGGGTTGGGCAAATGTTTTGTTAGTGGGATGAATTGTGAAGGACCTGCCTAGTATGGGCCAACAGGCCTCCTGCAGTGTTCCTCCTTTCTTATGTTCTTATGTAACGTGGGTGGCACCAGCGAGATGCCACTGACGTGTTATTCCCGAGTAGGAATAACCCCACCATGGTTACTGTCAGGGAGGCTGGAGTGGGAATAACACCACCATGGCTACTGTCAGGGAGGCTGGAGTGGGAATAACACCACTGATGCTACTGTTAGGGAGGCTGAGGTGGGAATAACACCAAAGATGCTACGGTTAGGGAGGCTGGAGTGGGAATAACACCACCGATGCTACTGTCAGGGAGGCTGGAGTGGGAATAACACCACCATGGCTACTGTCAGGGAGGATGGAGTGGGAATAACACCACCATAGTCTACTGTCAGGGAGCCTGGAGTGGGAATAACACCACAATGGTTACTGTCAGGGAGGCTGGAGTGGGAATAACACCACCGATGCGGCTGTCAGTAAGGCTGGAGTGGGAATAACACCACCGATGCTACTGTCAGGAGGCTGGAGTGGGAATAACACCACCGATGCTACTGTCAGGGAGGCTGGAGTGGGAATAACACCACCAATGCTACTGTCAGGGAGGCTGGAGTGGGAATAACACCACCAATGCTACTGTCAGGGAGGCTGGAGTGGGAATAACACCACAATGCTACTGTCAGGGAGGCTGAAGTGGGAATAACATCACCGATGCTACTGTCAGGGAGGTTGGTTGACGCTTTTGAATCCAAATCATGAATAATAACAATAATAATTAATAATAATATAATAACATAATAATAATAATAATAACATAATAACAATTATAATGAATTATAATATATTTGCGACCACTGTCAGCCTCAGAGTTATCTCTGAGTTACCAGACCTTGCCACGTGGAGGCCAGTGGTTCGTCTTTAAGGTCCCCCCCCCTCGCCTTTCCCAGGTTCGTGTGTCCAGGAATTCATCCGTGGGCCCCCGGATGTCTCCCCTTCCTCATTTCCCTAAGGTCAGCCTCGCCTCTCTTTCTCTCTCTGCCTTCCAGCCTCAGCCTTCCCCAGGTTCATGTATCCAGGAATCCATCTGTCTGCCTCCGGATGTTTTCCCTTCCTCACTTCCCTAAGGTCAGCCTCACCAACCTGTTTTCTTGCTGTCCCCAGGTTCATGTATCCAGGAATCCTTCCGTCTACCGCCGGATATCTTCCCTTCCCCACTTACCCAAGGTCAGCCTCAACTGCATGTATTCTTGCCTTGCCAAGGTTCATGTATCCAGGGATCCATCCGTTCGCTCCCAGATGTCTCCCCTTCCCCACTTACCCAAGGTCAGCCTCAACGACAACCTTCCTCAAGTTCATGTATCCAGGAATCCATCCGCTCGCTCCGGATGTCTTCCCTTCCCCATTTCCCTAAGGTCGGCGGTGCCTTCCCCGGATCAGTGTCTCCAGGAATCCACTTATGTCACCTCAGGTGAACTCCCTTCCCCACTTCCCCAAGGTCAGCGGTATTCTTGCCGTCCGCAGGATCATGTATCCAGGAATCCTTCCGTCTACCGCCGGATATCTTCCCTTCCCCACTTACCCAAGGTTAGCCTCAACTGCATGTATTCTTGCCTTGCTCAGGTTCATGTATCCAGGAATCCATCCGCTCGCTCCGGACTTCCCCACTTACCCAAGGTCAGCCTCAACAACAACCTTCGTCAAGTTCATGTATCCAGGAATCCATCCGCTCGCTCCGGATGTCTTCCCTTCCCCATTTCCCTAAGGTCGGCGGTGCCTTCCCCGGATCAGTGTCTCCAGGAGTCCACTTATGTCACCTGAGTGGACTCCCTTTCCCGCTTCCCCAAGGTCAGCGGTATTATTGCCATTCCCAGGATCATGTATCCAGGAATCCTTCCGTCTACCGACGGATATCTTCCCTTCCCCACTTACCTAAGGTCAGCCTCAACTGCATGTATTCTTGCCTTGCTCAGGTTCATGTATCCAGGAATCCATCCGCTCGCTCCGGATGTCTCCCCTTCCCCACTTACCTAAGGTCAGCCTCAACAACAACCTTCCTCAAGTTCATGTATCCAGGAATCCATCCGCTCGCTCCGGATGTTTTCCCTTCCCCATTTCCCTAAGGTCGGCGGTGCCTTCCCCGGATCAGTGTCTCCATGAATCCACTTATGTCACCTCAGGTGAACTCCCTTCCCCACTTCCCCAAGGTCAGCGGTATTCTTGCCGTCCGCAGGATCATGTATCCAGGAATCCTTCCGTCTACCGCCGGATATCTTCCCTTCCCCACTTACCCAAGGTCAGCCTCAACTGCATGTATTCTTGCCTTGCTCAGGTTCATATATCCAGGAATCCATCCGCTCACTCCGGATGTCTCCCCTTCCCCACTTACCTAAGGTCAGCCTCAACAACAACCTTCCTCAAGTTCATGTATCCAGGAATCCATCCACTCGCTCCGGATGTCTTCCCTTCCCCATTTCCCTAAGGTCGGCGGTGCCTTCCCCGGATCAGTGTCTCCAGGAGTCCACTTGTGTCACCTGAGTGGACTCCCTTCCCCACTTCCTCAGAGTCAGCGGTGCCTTCCCTGGATCAGTCTCTCCAGGAGTCCACTAGTGTCACCTCAGGTGGACTCCCTTCCCCACTTCCCCAGAGTCAGCGGTTGCCACCTTCAGTGACCTCGCTGCATGGAAACTCGGTCTTGTCTAGCTGGTCTACGGCAGAGAACTGTCCAGGTGGGTGGAATTACTGGAGGTGACACACAGAAAACTGCGACCAGTAATTACACCCACCAAGACAGCCGCGACCGTAGGTCAGCTAGACGCCACCAAGCTGCCTCACAGTTCCGCCACCTCCGAGAGGCTAATTAACGTAAATTTTGGAAATCCTTTTATGTTACACTATGAAAATATACTGAGAACAAGTTGTTTTTTACTTATTTAGCTGTTTAAAAGTATTTGAGAGTGTTTTATTATTGCATATGAATACCCAAATGTTGGTTAATTTGTCTACTTCCATCATAACTATGTTAAATATTACACTGCTTTCATTTTTGTTTATTTATCCCTCTTACATTTGCACTGAGAGCTAAAAAGCGAAGAAAAATTGTTTGCATACACATATATAAGTATTTTCACAAATATTTATACGTTTAAACACATTCACCTTACTCATACATCATTATACATACACTTGCATACATAAAAATTCACACACAATTCCATGTACTACAAATACGCACACAACAATGTACACAGTTATCTGCTATCACTATAATATGTCTGAGATCACACATACATGCACACAAATATATCACTCCAAAGCCCATCCCACGAACACTTATGTACACATACATGTGTACACATTCTCATAGACATACATGTACTCGTCCACATGATTAAACAATGTAGCAGAGACAATATATGGGAAATTTAGATATGAGTATTTGCTTCAATATTCAGAATATATAAGACAAAAAAATGTTGGTTTACAGTAATTTGAGAACATTGTTTGTGTAACTTGTGAATATTTAAAGATGTGACAGCTGTACCACGGAACTGTGCTCTTCTTTACTCTGAATTATTATGTAGATCATACAAGTTTTTTTTTGATGTTTACTTTTCACTTTCATCTACACATATACATCACTACAAACACACATATATACATACATGTGTACACATATACATCACTACAAACACACATATATACATACATGTGTACACATACACATCACTACAAACACACTACTACCAACACACTATATACATACATGTGTACACATACACATCACTACAAACACACTACTACCAACACACTTATATACATACATGTGTACACATACACATCACTACAAACACACTACTACCAACACACATATATACATACATGTGCACACATTCACATCACTACAAACACACATACTACCAACACACTTATATACATACATGTGTACACATACACATCACTACAAACACACTACTACCAACACACTTATATACATACATGTGTACACATACACATCACTACAAACACACTACTACCAACACACTTATATACATACATGTGTACACATACACATCACTACAAACACACTACTACCAACACACATATATACATACATGTGCACACATTCACATCACTACAAACACACTACTACCAACACACTTATATACATACATGTGTACACATACACATCACTACAAACACACTACTACCAACACACATACATACATGTGTACACACATGCATCACTACAAACACACTACTACCAACACACATGTATACATACATGTGTACACACATACATCAACACCAAACACACTACTACCAACACACATGTATACATACATGTGTACACACATACATCACTACAAACACACTACTACCAACACACATATATACATACATGTGTACACACACATACATCACTACAAACACACTACTACCATCACACATATATACGTACATATGTACACGTTATCATAGACATATCAACACTCTCCCTCACCATTGTTTAATTAAAATTAATATGGTATAAATTGTGTTTGAGAATTTAGATAATTTTTGTTTATATCATTTAAATTTTCTCTAAGAAAGTGCAATAAGGGTTATAAATTTTTATGAAATAATGTGGTAAAAGATGTAAATATGTGAAGAAATTACTAACTTGAGAGACTTGTGGTTAAGATAAAGAAGATATTCAGAAGAATAAACACTTTGTTTAAGTAGAATTAATTATTAAATAAGTTTCTCAATTCTCATACTTTACACTTCTCTCACCTCTTTTATTAATACCCTTTACCGGGCAAAGCAGACTAAAATGCAGATTTTGAAAGTGATTTCGTATAGAGGAGATAGGCCACTCGATGTAAGGTCACTGAGACCATCCAAACAGAGTTGTGAAAGTAACATCTCGGGCAATTGCAGATATTCGAAGACCGAGTATATTCGGTCCTGCCCGTTTGGGGATATAAACAATTTAGAATGTTGCAAGGTTGCAATTGTTGAAAAAAACGAAATAAATATTTTTTAAATTTATTATAAAAGTAGACAATATAAAAAACATAAATGGAACTTGTTTCTGAACAATTTATAAGCAGTAAAAAAATAGAAGTAGGAACTACTTATCAACAATGACACATTGCAATGAGATACAACTTACAAATGAAATATTCTTGAGTTCCCTGAGAAAGAACAATCCTTTTACATCACTAATTTCTGCAATGAAACTTTATGAAACAATTTCTATCCTTCTTGATGGATAGATTTACTTTGCATGTGGCACAGGAAAATGAAGATGCGACATGATTATTCTTGTTGCTGCAATACTTGCATGTAAGCAAGTATCTTCTTCTTGTCCAATTTCTTCTTTTTGGATGGTGGCATAGCTTCCTTCTCATCTGTTGGCACCTCTGCATCTTGTGGCAAGTATTCATCATCAGTTTTCCACCACTTCCAGGTCATCTGGATCTTGATCTGAGTCACTGTCATCCCAAACACAGACAAATTTCGACTTATCCTTGGAGGACTCACCGTAGAAACAATTTCTTATTGATCTGGAAGGACAATAAAACCGTTCTGTACACACCCAGACCATTACTGAATTCATATATACACTACCAAATTTTATGGAAATATTTATATACCGAAACTTGAAAACTGCACCTAAAAGGGCAGGAACGACTGTACTTGGTCCTATTTTGTTGCACTTTTTTCATTTGCATTGTGCACTCGTAATATGCTTCACAACGCCTTCATATATATATCAAAATATGGGCTAAACTATTCATTTACACACTAGACACACAAATCAGTACTTACCGACATTGTACGGGTGAAATGCTTCAGTATGTAAGGAGCACTCAACCGAGAAACACGAGTTTTGGCGCCGGCAAGGTAGAAGTGTTTACATTCTGCTCTCTCGACCAATGGGAAGCGAGCAGCCGCCATCACCGCTCAGCCTGGGCGACTCAGGGAAGGTCTGTGATTGGTCAGAAATAGAGAATGGGAACCTAGATGCGCTGGGG